TTTAACATATCAATATTTGATGAAAAATACCTGTTTCATCTCACACCTAAGATGTTTGGTATTCAGACAGATAGTGAGATTAAGCTCAACTGTCTAGGTTGTAGGGTAATAACAATAAGCTTCTCTTCTGAAGGGTTAACAGCCTAAGTTTGCAGACCAAAAATTAGAGAAAAAGGAGGGCAGCAAGGACAGTCAACATTTTGGCCCTAGCCTTTCAAGGTCAGTGAGGACTCAGGACATAGGAGAACCTGTATTGTAACATCATGTAACTCAGTGGTGTCCCAAATTTTCTGATTAGAAAGATTATGGAGCCAAAGAGGAAAGTGATCATCGATGTAGAGTGTGCCTAAGGACAGTCACATGGAGAGAAAACATTCTCTTAGGCTTTCATAGAGAACAGATTGGTCAAGCAATGGCTATGACTCATCCACATGGCTGGCACTGACAAAGGATCTATAAACTGCTGTACAGGGTTTCAGGATAAGTACTGAGGGGATTTCACTGACCTTATCAGATACAAAAGATACATTTCTTGCTATCTTGGTCTTAACCATCCAGCAAAAAATATAAAAATGAAGTATAAAAAGTAAAGCTATATTAATATGCTGAGCTATGAAAGGCTGAAGTTAACAACTTCTGACATTGCCAGTCTTATGGAAAACCCACTACTATTATGGACTACTGGACTGTATTGGAATATGTTCCTGAATTCATGCACCTATAGTATTCAAATGACAGTGGAATACCCTTCTCTGACAAAACTAAACAAAAAGAGGATACAGATGAATGACCATTTTGTATCTGTATATTCAAAATAGTTAGGATAGATTTATAGCTGTATTCTCTTATTCAGTGAATAGAAAGTTTTTTTGTTTTTTTTTTTTTTTTTGCGGAGCCGGGGATTGAACTCAGGCCCTAGCGCTTGCCAGGGAAGCGCTTATTCCACTGAGCCATCTCCCTGGCCGAAAGATTTGTTCTAATAGTGTTTGTAAACAGGATATCATGTTTGCATCTTGTACGGTGAATAACAACTAAGACAACAATATGCAGTGTATTAATTATTGAAACTGTCCTAATCGGATTTGAAACTGTTTCATTTGCTATTTGTTTCTCAATAAAATTATTGAAAAAAAACCCTTTCTTCCCATTTTCACCGTACTTCACATGTGGAATGTTGAAATGAACAACATTGAATTTAATAGAAGTAGTCATAAACTTTTAGCCACTTTAGTAAATATAGGATACTAAGTTTATATATGAAAAATTTGAAGGATTGGAGTGACTTCAAGTTGTCATTGTAAATTAAATCCCTTATTTTTGCCTGACTTATTAAAATTATTAAACAAATTGATTGTTATCCAGATTCACTTGAGAGGACATAATTGAAAATAACTTCCTAGCTATCCCTTTAGATATATTATTCTAGATACTTATTCCATGTTATGCCTAAGATGTTTGATATTCAGACAGATAGTGAGGTTAAGCTTAACAGCCTAGGTTGTATGGTAATAACAATAAACTTCTAAAAATATAACAAGAGCTATATTAGAATCATATATCATTTAAATTACATTGTTTACAAGAGCATCTTTATTTTTATAAAGACTTTTTATATTAATTTTATTGAGACTATTGGATTACTTCATGCACCTACAATATATGAATGGCAATGGAATGCACATCTCTGACAAAAGTAAACAAAAAAGGGGGATATAAGTGAAGGACCATTTTGTAGTGAAAAAAAATATATATATATATACACATCTGTATATACAAAATAACATAGATATGCAGCTAATTTATCTTAATGAGATTTTTACTAATAGTGTTTAGACAAGATATCATATCTGCATCCTGTACTATGAATAACTACTACAAAGACAACAATATGCAATGTATTAGTTATTCCAAACACTATTAGTACAAATCTTTCTTCTCATTGAACTAAGAGAAAGTAGCTATGTATCTATCCTATTTTGTATATGCAGATATATATTTTTTTCACTACAAAATGGTCCTTTATATACCCCTTTTTTGTTTACTTTTGTCAGAGATGTGTATTCCATTGCTATTAATATGTTGTAGGTGAGTGAATTCAGCAAAGTAATCCAATATAGTCCAGTAATCTATAATAGTAGTGGGTTATCTGCAGGACTAGCAATGTCAGAAGTTGTTGACTTTCAGCCTTTTACAGCTCAGCATATTATATGGCTTTACTTTTTATACCTCGTTTTTATACTTTTCTGCTGGATGGTGAAGACCTATAAAAAGACCTGGATAAAGCAAGACCTATATAATAAGAAATGTAACTTTTGTATCTGATAAGGTCTGTCAAGTCCTCTCAGAATTTATCCTGAAACCCTGTACAGCAATTTGTAGATCCTTTGTCAGTGTCAGCCATGTGGATGAGTCGCAGCCATTGCTTGACCAATTTGCTCTCTGGGAAAGCCTGAGAGAATGTTTTCTCTCCATGTGATTGTCCTTAGGTACACTCTACATTGATGATCACTTTCCTCTGTGGCTCCATAATCTCCTTGATCAGAAAATTTGGGACACCACTGAGTTACATGATGTTACAATACAGGTTCTCCTATGTCCTGAGTCCTCACTGACCTTGAAGGACTAAGGCCAGAATGTTGGCTATCCTTGTAGTCCTTCTTTTTCTCTAATTTTTTGGTCTGCAAACTTAAGTTGTTAACCCTATAGAAGAGAAGCTTAATGATATTATTACCGTATAGCATAGGCAGTTGAGCGTAACATCAGTATCTGAATATCAAACACCTTAGACATAACATGGAACAGGTATTTTCCATCAATTGTTGATATGCTAAACTTTAAATTCCTATACAACATGAAAAAAAATAATGAAAAAGATAATATTAAAAAATAGAAATAAATAATTGCAAATTTTTACATAGAAATTTAGAAATCTAACCATATACAGCATTGTAGCAGGACAGTCCTATGACTTTTTTTTCTTGACTCTTGTTTTCATGTTTTTTATTTATTTATTTCTTAAACAAACATTTACTTGAGAGAGAGTATAGCTGTCCTCAGTGCAGTTACCTAGTTCACAAGTATCAGCATATATAGTCAGTCAGGGTCAGAATCCTACCAGTTAACTGGTAGTTTCAGAAACCTGATGGAGATTCTCAGGATCATTGTGTAAAGGCGTTTTTGAAGGTTGTAATTTTAGAAAAAAATATTTTTGCATTTGTTTTTGGTTATAGTAGTTTTTATGAACTCAAATTATATTCTCTTTACTCATCTTTTAAAGCTTGATGATGTGAAGATAGAGGGAAGAAACTTGTTTGTTGTTGAAAAAGAATTATGTTAGCCAGTTTATAAACAATTAAAAATCTGTTGTGAACCATTCTTTCTCACTTATTGAGAAAAGTCTCATTATTTCTAGTAACTTGCTCTGAGCGTGAACCAATGATTACAGGTATTTATTTCTCACAGATCATTTCCAGCTTTTTAAAGTTTCTCAACTGAAGCATCTCTTACTTTTTTAAATCACTAGTAAATAATTCTGCTTCAGGTATCCTGACAATACTTTGACCTATCTCAACAGGTACAAATGATATTTGAACACTTACTAACTTGAGTTTGTTTTGGATCAGTGTTTAATTTAGTGGATATTTTCATTTCAGTGTAAGTCATTATAATTCCCACTGTTGCAGTGTTCAGTGAAGTTTGCAACAGAGTACAACACATACTTCTTATTTTTGTTGATTTTATTTTTTTTAACAACAGTTTTTGGGAATTTTATTCTGAATATCTTGTTATAAAGTTTAACTAAAATGATAAAGATACTAAAATATTAAGGAAGCTAATTACTTGTCTGTGTGCCTGGCTTTTGGTAAGTATGCATAAAATACATCTAGTAGCAAACTAATATAGAGTAATACTTTAACGGCTCTCATCTTGTCTAAGTGAATAGGTATTTAAACATAACAGTCTCTATTAAGGAAAATATAAATCTGTTAAGATAAGGTGTTCTACACTGTATTTTTATTCTTTATCTTACTTGTTTTTAAAAAGTTGATGTTTAGCAGTGGCGTTTAAATGATTTTGACCATCTTTATAACACAAAATCGTTTTTCCCCGGGAGGAAACACATATATATATTTACATAAACCCCTACAAGTGAAAGAGAAGCTCACAATGCAGTGCTCATACTTAGGCCTTGCCCTTGGGTAAGGATCCACTATTTGAAGAACTTTCTTGACAAACAGAAATGTCCCAAGCTTTAGAACTCATTTGATACTGAGTACCTGGATGTACGTAAACATTAGCATAACGCTGGTTCTTAGAAATGACCCAAATTCTAGTTCTTCCTGATTTGTACTTTTTGCTGCTTTCTTATTTTTGTAGTGTTAGGTTATATGATGAAAAGTACCTGAAATTTATATGACCTGGCCAAAAAACGAATGAGTAGAATCTCTTTTTAAGGCATGCATGACTGAGCATTGAAAAAGGATAATAGTAAATAACTGAAGGAAACTTTAAGGGTCATCTTGTCCAGCTTTGTCAGCAGACAAAGACAAATGCTATCCAGCTCCTTGAAAAATGCTTTCTTCTCTGTAAGGACTCAGTTTCCAATGTATCATGGCTTAGCTTTTCTTGGTGTGTCTCAGTGGTGTATCTTTCACTGTTACATGAGCTGTGGCTATAGCAGCTGCGGGACAGCTTGATTGCTGTGCGAGACATGAGGTACTCATTAGTATTCAGAGTTGTGTGTCAGTTCTGCTGTCAGGATAGAAGCCTATACTTTAAGGATCTAACCTTCTATGGGGAGTTATGAAAAGAGCGCTCCCTATTCATTCACCTAGATGTTTCAGTAGGTAACATATGATGCAAGGCATTTGGTACTTACTTATATTTGAAAACTAAGTATGGAGACATTAAAAAGTTGTTGTGGACCTCTACACAGTTTGTCAGTGATATTGTTAGCTATGTGACCTTATTTTTAAGCAATGTCAATTTTCTTTCTTTAGAATTCAGGATGCTGCTGGGCCTGAGCTGATACTACCTGCAAGCATTGAATTCAGGGAAAGTTGTAAGTAATTCCAGAATCTGTTACTGAATTATTTCTTGTTCCATTTTTCTCCATATGACTTTTATGTGTTTATTTTTCTCTTCTAAAATCTTTTTACAGCTGAAGATTCATTTTTATCTGCCATTATCAATTATACAAATAGCTCTACAGTTCACTTTAAGTTGTCCCCTACGTATGTGTTGTACATGGCATGTCGGTATGTATTATCCAGCCAGCACAGACCTGACCTCAGTCCTACAGAGCGCACACACAAGGTCATTGCTGTCGTCAACAAGATGGTGAGCATGATGGAAGGGGTCATTCAGGTAAGCTCCAGCCTAGATCCCAACAGGCCTGTACTTGTGGTTAGTTTAGAGTGGTGAAGAAGATTCTGTAGCACATCTGATCTGGTTACTTACTTGACTATTTGGAGAATTTTTTTTCCTAAAATAAAAGTTATATATAAAGAATTTTCAAAAAATGTATAGCTGTGCGGAGTTGACAGTTAATTTTTTTTTGTTATAAACTTTAAAATAAATGCAAGTGAACAGTATTTGATAGCATAATGAGCATGAGAAAATATTTTAAAACTGTAGCAGTAGTTTTGAGAAAGTGTTGAGACTGTTGTGGATTTTCTTAGAGTTTACTTAATGACTTACTGAAATTAAATTCATATAAAATTCACTAGATTTTTGATGTGAACAGCATTTAATGCATTCACAATGTTGCACAACCACTACCTCCAAAACATTTTCATTGCTTGAAACAAAACCCATCTTTCCTTCCCTCAGTTTTCTGATAACCACTTTCTTAGAATTTTTCATGGTTATAGAAAGCACTTGCTCCTTTCTATGATGTCTGTCTGTCTGTCTATGGGAATGATGGATGTCATGGTGAATTTCTCACTTAAGAAAAAGTTTTCTAAGTCTGTTTTGAAAATCTCGAGAAATAAGAGTATTTTATTGGTACAGCGATTTCATTCCTTTAAGTATTCTGTTGATCTACAGTTGATAAAATTGGGATGGCCATTTTTTATATATGAAGATTGGTTTTTAAAGTCCTCAAAACCAAATTTACAAGTCCTTTAACAGTTTTCCTAATACTTTTGTCAGTGCCCTTATCAGCTATAAAACTCTAATAATGTTGTAATATGATTAAGTGGCTTTGTTTTGTTCCTTCCAGGATCACTTGAGGGAAGCTAAAGTGACCTTTTAATTCCCTCAGAATTGTCTAAAAAGCCAAAATTTTTAAACCATGCTTTTTTCTCATTTGAATGAGTCACATTATTATAAGAGTTTGATGGGGTTATATTTGCTTTACTCAAACTAGGAAAGGGAAGGTCATTTTATTTAAATACCTTTTTGTTACTCTAGTATCATTGTTTTATGAACAAGCATGAATTTCCTTTCAGTTGTCCCTCCAGAGCCATTGTCTGTCTCTCATCACATTTGCACTTGTAAACCCATCTTTAGACTGGAAAATTCTCACTATCACACTGCCTTGAGACTTTCCTTGCTGGTTTCTGTTGGACAGGGCAGTAACCACCACTAGGACAAGTCTTTTAAACTGGAAATTTAGGGCTTGTATGTAACTAGGAAAGTCTCAAAACAACTGTGGCAGCAAATGATTTAAATTTTAGTTTCAAAAAACTAATTTATTCTCTTTAGTAGAGATATGAGTTCCTTATTTACTTATAAAATTTTAGCTTTTATTTTGACTTTTACTGGTCTTTCCTGTCTCTCATGCGAATTAATTCAGGGGAATGGACTTGTATTTTATATGCCTTTAAGTAGTAAGTACTCAGTATCATTAAAAAGACATTCAGAAGTCCTTCCTTTGCATATATTTTAAGGAGATCAGTATGTTCATGTGTTTTATTGTAACATTTTTATAAGTTCTATAAAGTTCACTTGTACCAGTGTTGAGAGTGTAAACTAAACCTTTATCATATACTTCCAAAGCTGCTTCAGAACCAATAAATAAAAATATAATTGGTGCATAGCATAACTGAATGTTATACCGTCATGTCGTACCTTCATATTAGTGTTTTGATTTTTTTTAAACTATCATGATTGTTTACAAGTTTCTTTCTCTCGTTCTGCTTGATTTCCCCTCGTCTGTTTTTCTCCAGGAAGTAGACCAGGTTGATCAGGTAGGACATACTGCTGGGAGCTGATCCTAGCTGTGTTGGCTTAGCTGAGTTTCTCATGCTGCTTTCATGTCAAATACAATACTACAACAGCTGGACTGAACAGTTCATAACACTCATTCAGCAACTGAAACATGCAGTACTAAAACCCTTTTTGACTGTGCAACTTTTATCAGCATTTCATAATTTCTGCTTAATGCACTTCAGTGTGGATATGAAATGACAAAAGTTCTGTTTCTTCTCTTTTATTATTTATCCTTGGTTCCTATTCTTTGGATCTCATCTTAGGTTGCCTGGCCTGCACATGTGGTCGGGAGAGGGCACGATAGATCAGTACTTGATACTGAGTTGCATGGTGTCCTAGCCAATGACTACAGGTATCAGGGTGGCTGTGGGTAACCATAAATACATGTGTGTATACTGCACAGATTACCAGATAAAGTGCAATCTGTAATTGGCTACTGTATTATTTGAAATCTCCATCTTCCCACTTACTCATTAATTGGAGCTAATTAGACTTATGTCTCCATAAAACCTACAAAACAGCTGCAGTGATTGTTGCTTTCCGCTGCATTGTGTATACCCAAATTCCTTTGCAAGTATCTGGTATCTGTGGTAAATACCTGGGTGAAGATGGGAATGTACTGGTTTATCTTTGGCAGCTTTTCAGGAGCATTCCTGTTTTTATTGTTTTAGTTTGTCTTATGTTACTTACAGAAATGTGTTCTGTCCACAGAAACAAAAGAATATTGCAGGGGCATTGGCCTTCTGGATGGCAAACGCATCTGAACTTCTCAACTTCATCAAGCAGGACCGAGACCTCAGTCGGATCACATTAGATGCCCAAGATGTCTTAGCTCATTTAGTTCAGATGGCATTTAAGTAAGGAGCACATGTTTAAAAATGACCTTTCTGTAGAGTTAAATCAAATATCTTTTTGTACCCTTTTCAAAACTAACAAGAGTTTACTTTTTTTTTTTTTTTTTTGGTACCAGGAATTGAACTCAGGACCTTGCATTTGCCAGGCAGGCACTGGCTTGTGCTGCTGAGCTGTTAAAAAACTTTAAGCTGCTGCTTAAAATTTTTACTTACATTAACTGAAGATATATCAAGAAACATAAGTAAAATGTTTTTAAGAATATTGAATTCAACGAGCTATGTTCTAAGGATCCTGAGATTATAACTCTTTTCTTAAAAATAGAAAATATTTCTAAAGAATAGAGATTGTTTGACAGGTGATAACATGTCTATAGTAGCAGTGTGTTGTGCCAAGATTATTACAATTGTTCATATATTTTTTTTTCAGATACTTGGTTCATTGTCTTCAATCAGAACTTAATAATTACATGCCAGCCTTTCTGGATGACCCTGAGGAGAATAGTCTGCAGAGACCAAAAATAGGTTAGGATATTCTTTGTTTCCTCCCTCTTTTTCTTTCATATTTAACTTCATCTTAATGTTTATTATTTGTGAGGTATGTGTTTTTTAAAGAAATACAAGGTCTTGTTGGATTTGACTGAATAAAACATAGTAACTTCAAACTGCCATCTGTTTTGTTTATGAATAGTTCTCATTTTTGGAATGTCATGCACATCATACTTTTTTAAATGTCTATTGGGTAAACTTAGGAAAAAATAGCTAGTTAATGACTCTGTAGTTTAAGGCCATGTCACTGATTCCTATCCAGAAGACACTGATATTGTGAAATGATACTGCATAGCAGTGACTACCATAATTCCCATGATCAAAGTTTGATGGCGCACAGAAGTTTCTTGGATGATATGTGGCCCCTGTCTTTTCGCCTGTGTCCTGACAGATGATGTGCTGCACACACTCACGGGAGCCATGTCTTTGCTTCGGCGCTGCAGAGTCAATGCTGCTTTGACCATCCAGCTTTTCTCACAGCTGTTCCACTTTATCAATATGTGGCTGTTCAACAGATTGGTGACTGACCCAGATTCGGGGCTGTGTTCCCACTACTGGGGAGCAATTATCCGCCAGCAGTTGGGACATATTGAAGCTTGGGCAGAGAAGCAGGGGCTAGAGCTGGCGGCTGATTGTCACCTGAGCAGAATTGTACAGGTTTGTGTACATGATTCCTACTTCACCGGTAATGTACTTTATGGTGAATGTATTAGATTTTAATGACAGGCAAGAGTTTTGATGAAACAAAGCCTCATGACCCTCTGTTCAGGGTTTTCCCATTTACAGATAGTGAAATCATGGTATGTTACTACTTGGGCCACCATATTAGCACAGCAAATTCAGTGGCTTGACAGGATTTTATTTCTCCCAGTTCTGGCAGCCAAAAGGAGAAATCAGGATGTTGCAAGGACTGGTTCTTTGTGAGGACCATGAGGGAAAAATCTGTTCCAAGTCTCTAATGCCAGCTTTTAGGAACTTAAAGACAGATTTCGGCATTTCTTGGCCTGTAGATACATCATCCTGTTCTCTGCCTCCATCTCTCCATGGCAGTTTCCTTGTGTGTGTATCTGTCCCAGTGTTTACTTTGTATAAGCACACTTGCAGTAGTTGAATAAGCTCATCTCAACTTGACTACCACTGTAAAGACCACATCTAAGTAGGGTCCTTTCTGAGGTCCTGACAGTTAATCCTCCAACATGAATTTTGAAGGACACAGTTCAACCTCAATAGGTAAATAACCAGTAGCATATAAATATCCTTAAAGGGTCCTTTTTTTAAATTGAGCTCACTAAGACCTATTTCATAAAGCTCCATACTAAAGGACAAATACCAGTTTAAAAATGAACAATTAACTGTTAAGAATGCAAGCCAAATAGTATTCTGCTGTCTTAACCAGTTCTGAGAGAACTTTTAAGATACCCAAGTGAGTTATGTGTAACTTCAAGCCCTAGGACAGTTTTTTTTTATGTTATTTTAATTTATTTAACTTAGTTCTTGATTTCTTTCTTTTGATGCAATTTGGTATATAGAAAGTCTGGATTGCTAGTTATAAAAAGCCACTTATAAAAAAGTTATCATATCCCAGTAATTGGTTATCTTGATATATAAATTTGTAAAGTTTCAAAGGAAATTTTTAAATTGTGTAATGAACCTTAATAGTTGAATCTAATTATATTGCGAAATCTAAAGGGCATCTAAAAACTTGGATAAATCATTAGTTTAATTAAATGTTAGTTAATAGAAATATGTCTCTTTAATATTCTGCATGCCAACATGCAGTTAGCAAGGTATTAGCTTTAAACATACTACTTAAAAGACTTTCTTGGACATTGTGCACTTAAACCCAGGACTTTGTGCATGCTAAGTGTGTGCTGTATACCACTGAGCTACAACCCTAGCCAAAGGATATTTGTGCAGTACTGTACTTCTAAATATTTTATATCATTTATTCTTTTAAAAGGCAACCACTTTGCTTACAATGGATAAGTATGCACCTGAAGACATTCCAAATATAAACAGCACCTGCTTTAAGTTAAACTCATTGCAACTTCAAGCCTTATTGCAGAATTATCACTGTGCACCTGATGAGCCTTTTATCCCAACAGTAAGTTGATGTTACTCTATTACCGTAGAGTGAAGGCATATTTGAACAGGACCATTCTATTTATTTTTTTAAAAAGAAAAACTTATTTAACTACTTATTTTAATATGTTAACTTACTTAAAGTCATGCCACCATTTTGCTATTGCTATCTGAGATGGAGTTCAATGGGAGGGACAGAAACTACACAAGCAGTTTAATTAGAAAGTGATTTAAAGTAAGTAGTTGTTTTTCGAAAAATTATTGCAAGAACTAGAGGAAAGGAGGTTGGGAAGTTGTCCCTGAACTACTGAGTTCAGGGGCCTGCCACTGTAAGTACCACAGGATTAAAGCTGCTGCCACAGCCACGAAGATTTTCTCTCAGCACTGTCCTGTCTGCACTTTACCATCAATAGCAGCAGCACATGAACTTCCACTGTATGGCCACAAACCTTGTACAGAAGTGTCTGATAGTAAAATCCAGTCTTACCCAGGAGAGAGTCTAGAGGTTGAGTGTGTGTCCTGCACATTGAAAGGAATGGAGGGTAAGAAACCCATTCCATGATATCTGCAACCATTAGCTATATATTGAGAGGCATGCTGCAGGTATCTGCCATAAGAGCCAGGCACATATCCTGTGATCTATATAAGCTGACAGGCACAAGTTTTCCCAAACTGGAAATCAACCTGTCTACAATAGTGGGTCCAGAAATCTTATCAGTTCGTATAAAGGAATGCTAAACTTCAGTGAGAAAGAATGAACAGTAGTGACCACTGTACCATAAGTAGCACAGAAGAAGCCATATTCAAAGTTTGTACCTCTCTGAATTTCAGAACAGATAGAAGCCTAGGTATCTGCTCTCTTCATGGCAGTTAGGGTACCAGTAGGGAATAGGGGATGCCAGTGTTCCATTCATGGACTAGAGATGGACATGTTAGTTGAGTTGGTGTTTTCACTTCAGTGGGCTGTACAGCTAGTTAGGATTTGGAACATCTTTGTATAGGTAGCATATATCAGTAACATGTTTTCAAACAGAAATCACGAATAAGCCCATAATTAGAAATATCTTCTGTCTATTATTACGTTTCCAAAGTGGAAAAAACATTTTACGAAATTTTGTCCTAGTTTTTTATATTTGACATTGTGTAAGCTTTACCTTTGTCAACAAAACAAAACAAAACAAAAATTGATTATTAATAACTGAATCATAAATATGTTAAAGAATTATACAAAGAAATGACTATTTTGGAAAAAGGGAAAATTTCCAAATTTCTCATGATTAAACAGTTTTTATGTAAAGCTATAAGTAATTGGAAATTAATAATTACTGTCAGTTTACTGTAAAGTGTGTTCACCTTGCATGTGTATTCTGAGTGTATTGATCAGTTTGCCTCCACTAGAGCCCTATACCTTTGTAAGTCTTAAGTGCGATGTAGTGATTTGGAACATTTTTGAATATTGCTGAATACATGCTCCAATCAAGCATGTTTTCATGACGTAGTGTTTATATTTCAACAGGATCTTATAGAAAATGTAGTGGCTGTTGCTGAAAACACAGCTGATGAGCTGGCCCGCAGTGATGGGAGGGATGTGCAGCTGGAGGAAGATCCTGACCTGCAGCTGCCTTTTCTTTTGCCTGAAGATGGCTATTCTTGTGATGTCGTCAGAAACATTCCAAATGGTTTACAAGAGTTTTTAGACCCTCTGTGCCAGAGAGGTAAATGCTTTTGACCACACCTGAATCTAAGCTGTGGCCCAGGTTGAAATCAACCTTTCATGTGCTGTCTCTCTAGCAGCCCACTCAGTGGGAGTGTACCTGTGTCTTTTGGATAGTCTTCCCATGACTTAAGAAGCATTTCCCTATGACGTAGGTTCAGACAGGTTCAGACACAGCCTTTGGGTTTGTTGGGGCCCTGTGGTAAGCACCTGCTTTGCCTACTGGGTGCCCTGGTAACTCTTTCTCTCTCCTGGCATTCCATGGCCATTTTGATTCCCTAAGACCAAGCTGGGACCTTTGTGTATATGTGCTGGGCCAGAAGACCAATTGAAAATGGCACAGACTGAGTCCCCAGCCATCCCTGCTAGATATGCTGCATGAACAGATTACTCCTTGCCTCAATTTCTCATCTTTTTAAAGAGAGTGCTGAGGATTGGAAGGATTGCCTGTGGGACAAGAGTTCTGAGTACCTAGTGTGCTGCTGGTGCTGCTGCAGCTAGCAGTGGTGGTAGTGGTGCTGATGAGGCAGCTCACCTGCTTGGCATGCTCTCATGCGCTGTGTTTTGTTTTTTTTTAATGGAAGGTCTACTCAGCACAGTTAAGGTAGCATGCACCTCACACATTTCCCTGCCACTGTGACTTTTACTGCATTGTCTGTCTGGTGTATATAGATTGAAAATGCTACTATTATACCTAATGTATATGATTTTGAATTAGACCACATTTTAATCTGCTCTGGTACTTTTTTTTAACATGGGGCTATTATGAATAAATAGAAGAGTAGATTGAAAATGTAGGTATCTATTGACACAATTAGGAGTGAAGTTAAGGTGTTCTGTCCATAGCTAATTAAATTTAATCAGTATGATTTTTACCTTCAGTAGTTCACTTACCACAGTCAGTACATTTTATATCTTCAAAAGTGTCTCAGAGTTTTTGCTAGTGTTTTAAAAATTCATCTTAGAGAGGTGACTTCTGTTGAAATGCATTGCTCAGCTCTCTGGGCCATCCTCAGAGAAAAAAAGGGTAGGCATGGCAGAGGTGAAGCTCTTTAGGATATGAAGGGTGAAGAAAGAGAAATGGGTACAAGAGGGAAAGCCCATGTGCACCCATGTGGAAAGGAAGATGGGTTGGCTGCAGTGTGGTCATGCTAGGGTGCCCTGGCAGCAGCCCGTGAACATTGTTTCTGTAGTGGCAGTACTCAGTTGCCACAGGCTGCTTAGAGGTGCCTTTCTCTGTGCCCCACATACCAGCACTGCATACACCACACCCAGCTCTTACACTTTCCTGCATATACCACATCCAGCTCTTATACTTCCAAGATACACCCTACTCATGCATCAGCCATGCCGCTATCTTTTGACAGTTCCTCTCACCCAACTCTTCTAGATCTGCTTTGTGCCCTACTGCCATCAGCTCATTTAAAATTACAGTTATTTATGGTTCTATACCCTGCTAAGAACTCTTTACTGTGACTTGTAGGATGGAAGTAACTACTGAGCATGCTGTCACTCAACCTAGGATGAAGGTGCTTGCTGTTTGTCACTGAGAGGCTGCTGTTCTGTGTGCTACATGCATGTCAGGTCTTAGTTGCTGCTGTTGAGCCTCCCCTCTCCCCATTAGTGATCTCTTAAATTCTAACTAGACCCCTACTCATCTAGAAAACCTTAGTTCCCATCCTGATGCTTGACATGCTTTCCCTGAGAGTGGTTCTTGGTATTTGTACCTCTGCCACTGTACTACCCTGTACTTAAGGGCCAAGCTCCAGAGCCTTGCCCTCATGACTGAGCATGGAGGTGGCCCTCTGAATGCTGGTGTACAGGCAGGCTGAGCTCACTGACCTTGTAGTTGGGTGTGCTTCCAGAATGTGCTTGGTATGCTTGCATAGCAAGCTGGAAGCCCTGGGTTCGGTCCTCGACACCAAAAACAAAAGTAAACCTCCCCTAAAAAAGAGTTGAACCAAAAAAATACAGTAAAATCAAAAAAGACCAAAAACAAGGCAACTGCACACACATGGGGCTAGGAATTTGGCTCAGTGGTAGAATGCTTGCCTAGTAAGCTGGAAGCCCTGGGTTCGGTCCTCGGCACCAAAAACAAAAAATAAACCTCCCCTAAAAAACAATTCAAACAGAATGTGCTTGGTTGGCCTGCCTTGTTCTCTCCACATCCATGTGGGCCTGCTGCATGCTAAATGTTCATAACTCTTTGAGGCCTTGTCAGTAAGCAAGCAGGGAGACTTAATTTACTAATATTTTGCAAATGTATATAATTTATAATGTGTACCAAGTGCCAGTTTTGTCAAATGTACTATGGAGCAAATACTTGGAAATAATGTTGCAGTAATGAGGTCTTCATTAAGTTTTCTTTGTAACTTCCCCTCAGGTTGTCTTTGAGTGGATGATTTTAGGACATAGGTTGTATTTCACCATGGTCTTGGCATCGCTACCTGACTTCATATGTGTTAGATGATTATAATATATACAGCCTAGTGCACAGATGCCTTTAAAAGACTTACAAAGAGTTGGGTGTTTTATGACATCAGTTTTGTTGATTCTTCATGCTCTGTTCTTTGTAAGCTGATTAAAGAACTATTATGTACTGTTCAGTTCCTTTTGTTTTTTCATGTAATGAATTGCCGTGAGAGAAGACTATATAACCAGCTTGGACTTGTATGTTGGCTAAGGGGAATTCCTTAAACTCTCATAAAGCATGTCTCCATTGGCACCATGGTCCAGAACTTGTTAGAACCCTGACATTTGAAAAATTAAGAACATAATTTTTAATTATTGATATTTTGAAATCTTATTAAATTCATAGTACCATAAAATAGGGAAAGCAAATTATATTTTAATAAAATTGGATTGAAACAGTGATTTTTTTCCTTCCAAAAAAGTAACATTGCTTTATATCATTATTTTAACTCAATGTATTTTTTATATCTCCTTTTTCCTGTACCACAGATATACTTGCCATACGTGACCAAAAGTAGCAGTCTACATAACCCGCCAGATGAAATACTAGGGTTGACAAGACATTTCTGTTGTAGGCAAGGCAGAGCCAGTGTCTCACACAGCACAAACAACATTTCCCCACCAGCATAGGCTGTCCTCTGCAGCAGGATGACAGCAGCTTTGGAGGAAGCTTTAGGCTCACTCAGGGCCTGTGTGTTATAACTTTGTTGCAAATTACTGAGACATACAAAATAAGATTTGATTAAGTGAAGGGTGATGTGTTTTGAATTAAAGTGTCATTTGTTCCTAATTAAAATAACAAAAAATATTCTGTAAAACATAAAATTATTCTAAACTTTATTTGTAAAGAGCTTAAATTATTTGAGTATAAACTCATAAGAAATCTAGACAGAATAATGAGAAGGGACATACCTGACCACAGAATAGTGCAAGTTAAATAAAGTCTTCAGTGTAAGTCATTTAACACAGTGTCAGATGAGGTGGGCAGACACTCATGTCTGTCATTCTCTGATTTCCTTCAGTGTGCCTTCTCTTGGCTAAATAGACACTCAGAGTGTCATGCAGGGCCTTCAGGTCCAGTGGAGTCAACAGTTCTACAAAGTAGCAACTATAAGACAATTGAATATTTTCTTAGAGAAGAAAAAAAGTGCTTTTGGAACACAGGAACAAAAGACCAGATTTTACTTTACATTTAGGTGCTGAAATTCTGTTGGTCCCAACAAATCCGTGATTTTTAGGTGGTAATTCAGTTTTTAGAGTGAGTAAGGTATAAAAAGTATTATCATTAGATAGTACGTAATACTTTTTCTTGCTTCCCTGATGAAGATCATCTGTCTTGGTGGTATGCTTTTTCCATGTTATAATTGCCTTGTTTCCTCCTCAGGATTTTGCAGATTAATTCCTCACACACGTTCACCAGGTACTTGGACGATATATTTTGAAGGTGCAGATTATGAAAGTCACCTTATGCGTGAGAACACAGAACTGGCAAGTATTCTCAGAATGTTAGATGAGCTGTGACATAAAATATATTTCTGATGACATGAGGATTGCATGCAAGCTTTTTCTTTGCTTGCACTAAACATTTTTGTGATAGAAAAATATTTTTTGAGATCATTTTTAGGACCAATTTTATTCAAACATCTTAAACTGACTTATAGATATGTATTTCCTTCCCTTCTGGGCAGTGTCTATAGTTTTGTCTGTAAACAAATGGTACATTTTAAAATACAGAATACTTATGCTCATAATCATACTGACATTAATGTTAATGCAGAAATGAAAAACATGGTAATATGGTAGTAGCCTTAGTAGATGTTACAAAATTTTTTTTTTCTTTAGCAAAAATATCTTTTTCTTGTGTAATCTTGCTTTGACTTAAATATACACCAAGTTATTCATTGCTACTTTGTAGTCTTCAAAATAGTAATAAAGTCCTTCATACATCTTTAGGAAAATTCTACTTCATACCAGGTTTTAAACAGTAACAAAAAAGATATGTCTTTGTAAAGTAATTCAAAGTAACTCAAGTTGGCTTTCTAATGTAGTTGAGGTTTTGAGCTATGCAAGAGCCACCTCCAAAAGCTGAATCGATGGCTTCTCTGTTACACCAAAAATGTACTTTTTACTGACCTTTAATTGTCAAATCCAAAGTAACAGCAGTAACTTGTAATAACTACATTTTGAAGAGAAGCAAGTTCTTTCTTAGAAGAATAACTGTTTCTTTTTCTAATTTTGATTTTAAAAGAAATTCTGATATCTGATTTTACTTTTTCCCAAAATATTCTCTCGTAGGCTTTATTTTTTTTCTAAATTAAAAATCCATGTATAAATTTCCACTTCTTACGCCTTCATGTTCATGAATTTTGTTAAGTTCCCATCAGTGCGTATGCACTAGTGGTTTTGTTTTATAGTTTTATCTATTGGACTAAGATATGACTTAACATGTAACTTCCATGTACTGTTTCTTTCTTTAAATCTGACCTGCCTCAGGGACTGTAACTTAGTCCTCAACTTGGTTGCCCAGCCATTGAGGTTTTCCTTGGCAGAATACTTTGAGCGCTGCTGCATGACTCCTGTAGGTGCTATGTTTTTATCATTTAAAATAAAATGATTTGCATTTTTGTAAAAGAGACAGATGTCAGGTCATTTGTGTTATAGCTTGCTTTGCTTCTTTTTCTCTTTTTTACTAGCTTCCCTAGAGAAAGTGTGAAATCAGCTTAACATGTTCCTGGTAGCTTGAACCACCAGTGGTGGCCTGCATGACTGTCCAATTGGGAAGCATTTACCACTGGTGCTACAAATAGATCTAGTCACTCTTACTGGTCTTTTTGATAATACAGTTAATTTTAGAAACCTTGCAGTGGGACAGGCATACATGTATCACTGGGTGGTTCAAGCCACCTGCAGAGAGACATACAGTTTAAGCCCCTGTCATGAATGTTTAAATTTCTTCTTGGGAAACAAAAAAAACCTGATAATTTATTTTAAAAAGTAATAAGGTAAAAATTGGATGTTTTGTCTTAATGATGCATTTTCTAGCTTGTTAAAAGTTTTAATATTTTTTGCAACTCAAGTTCTTAATATTTAAAAAGCCAACTTTTATGACCAGAACTATGTGCCAGACCCTAATCAAGAGCATGTGTATTGAGCTTTCCAGCTATGTGAAGAGTACCTCTGTCAGTGGGTCTTTTTCACTCTTCTTCTTTGCTTCCTGTAGTGCACTTGACTGACTGCTTCCTAATCACATGGAAGCACTTAGATTTCAGCTGCAAAGTAAGCCATTGTTCTCATTCTTTAGGCCCAGCCTCTGAGGAAAGAACCTGAAATCATCACTGTGACCCTGAAAAAGCAGAATGGAATGGGCCTTAGCATCGTTGCAGCAAAGGTACGGGAGTGGGTGCCATGTGGCCACTCTGCCTTTTGTTTCCTGGGCAATGAGTTGGCCACCATCAGGGCTGCTGCAGTGAGGGAACAGGGAACACTGCTTCTGGGGCCTGGAGGGTGCCGTACGGTAAAGCCACAATGCTCTGGGTTAATAGAAAAGTGAACCCTGAGCGGGGGCAGGGAGAGTGGTACCTGAAGCCTGAGCAGTTTAAAGGTACTGGCATCACTTGAGCAGTTCTGCAAAGGGAAAAAAGTTTTCCTGTAGGAGAATGGTCACACATCTATTGCTTCTTCATCACACATCTCTGGTTTTTTCAGCTTTTAGTGATCTGAGAGTCCAGGAAATCTCATGACACAGTCAGGATTCTGGTTCAGTTTCAGTTGGAGCTTAGGAGGTGATTGTTTTTAGGAGTTCTGACTGTTCAGCTATGCTCGCAGAACTTTGAGGACTTGTCTGCAGCAGGATATTCCAAGCCACACAAATCTTTTCTCTCTCTCTTAACTCTAGGAAGTTAACATTGGAACTCTAGGAGTAACAGGACCTCATGAAGTTCTTACTTGCTTATCTTGAACTTTATTTTAGAGTTCCAACCAGGTATTTTCAGTGGAACAAACAAGATTCTTTAGCTAATAATTTATTAAATAATACTAGATTCATCTATGCTAATGTTTTTCTTAAAATAACATGTTAACAACTAAAATTGTTGCCTCCGTTCGTATTTCTAGGGAATGTGTGAAGCTTTCCCTAGAGATATAGGGAAAATATATCTCAGATACTGTATAGCAGTGTGATAACAATGCTTTGTGCTTTTAGTATATTCTGAAAATTAAGGATAATAGTGAAAATTTTTGGGTAAAAATTTATTTTCTGTATACCAGAATTTTAACATCGGGGTATTAATTAGAAGAGCTGGGCATGTAATCCTAGTACTTTGGGAAGGTAAGACAAGGAGGGCTGCTGGGTGGTTGAGGCCAGCCTGGGCTACAAAGTAAGTTCAAGGCCAATCTGAGCTGCATAAAGAGACGCTGTTTCAAAAACAGAGACAAGTCCTAGCCCAGGCCCGGTGAGTGTGTGGGAGAGCTTCCGGCTACCCTGCGCCAGCGGGACCTACCGGTCCCAGCACAGGCATAGCGTGGGTGAGACCCTCTTCCACGCCTTTGGGATGCCCCAACACCACTCCACAGCACCTCCCCACCCCACCGGCCAAGTAGGAATTTCTGTTGCATTCCGGGAACACCCAGATCCAGTCCTAGCCCAGGCCGGGTGAGTATGTGGGAGACCTTCAGGCTACCGGTCCCAGCCCAGGTGCATCATGTGTGAGACCCTCTTTCACCACCTTGGGCCCCCCCCACTCCATAGTTCCCACCACACCCCACCTCACCCACCAAGTAGGAATTTCTGTTGCGTTCCAGAAACCCCAGATCCACTCCTAGCCCAGGCCCAGTGAGTGTGTGGGAGAGCTCCCTCTCCACCCTATTCCACTTTGTGCCCTGCAGACTCAGCTCAGGTCTGGCATACAGGCCTGGAGTCAAACCCTGCAGCTGCAATCCCTGCAGAGAGTGTAGGGAACAGAACCACCCAGCTAGTCCAAGAGCAGAACATCTTGCCAGAGGGACACAACAGGTTCACCCCCAAGGGCGGCAGCAGGAAGGAGCTGAGCACAGCAGCCAGACCCAAGCCAGGCACAGCTGGATAAATCCAAACTTTGTAGATCTGCACCTGAACTTCAGTAGGTGCTAAGGTTATAACTGCACCAAAGCTCTACAACAAAGATCAGAAGACAGTGCTACACAAAATGACAATGAGAAGGAGCAAAATACAATCTCAGAACCCAAGCCCACCCATAACAACTGCAGAGGACACTAACACAGAAAAAAGTGGGAATCACAGAGCTGAATTCCATTAATCAACGGCTTCTGAAGTAAAGAAACAGCTACAGAAAGGTATAGAGGAACTCAGATTAGAAATAAAAAAGGAAATCCCTGAGTTAATAGCGTCTGCAGTAAGAATCAAATGCAGAAACATATGGAGGAAACCCAATGCGTACCCAGAACAAGTGCAGAGGACACTAGCTTAGCTCAAATGTATGAATTAATAGCATCGATAGTAAATAAGTAACAGCAGAAAGTTATAGAGAACTCAGAGTGGAATTCTTTTCTACTAGCTCAGCTCAAATGTACAAATTAATATCATTGATAGTAAATAAGCAACAGCAGAAAGTTATAGAGGAACTCAGAGCAAAACTTTCTGAAATAAGAAAAGAATTCTCGGAACTCATAATATCTGAAGTAAAGAATCAACTACAGAAACATAGGAAACCCAATCTGAAAAAAACACTGCAGTAAAAGAATTAATAACTGCTTCTAAAAAAGACATTGATAAAAAAAAAAAAAAATAGAGGAGATTAGAAAAATGACGGATTCCTTGAATGAGCAATACAGAAAAGAAATAGATCGTATGAAGCAGAGTCAAAGAGATATAGAGGAAATTAAAATCGCAATCACAAGCTTGCAAAACCATTTGAAAGTGAAGACAGAGTTTCAAATCTTGAAGACGCTGGTGTTGCTAGTGAAAAGGTAAGAAAAGATCTCTTAAAAACAACTAGGATGCAGGAAAAAATAATCCATCATCTGCGAGATGATGCAAAGATGAACAATGTGAGATTAATAGGCATCAGTGAGAGAGAAGGAGCCAATACAAATGACATTAAAAAAATATGGGTAGAAGTAATAGCAGAAAACTTCCCAAATATGAAGAAACAATCTGATATTCAGGTAACTGAAGCATACAGAACGCCAAGTAACCTCAACCCAAAAACACACCAAGACTTATAATAGTCAAGATCCCAGAAATTCAGCACAAGAATAATCTACTGAAAGCCCCTAGAGAAAAGAAGCAGATCACATTCAAAGGAAAGCCCATCAGAATTAATGGCTGACTTCTCTTCACAAACCATGAAGGCAAGAAGAGCATAGAACAGAGTACTTCAAGTCCTCTATGAAAACAAATTCCAGCTAGACTACTATACCCTGCAAAACTCTCTTCCAACTTTGATGGAGAAGTGAAATACTTCCATGACAAAGAACAACTAAAGAATCTCATGATGACAAAGCCAACCCAGGCTAATGAAAGATGTTCTAGAGAGGGACCAAAATGATCAGAATTCCACGAATGAGATCAGAAGCAACCAACTAAATAGGGCAAACAATTAAACACAGGAGAAAAAGGAGTAAATGACAACAGGTAAATAACATGTCGATCCTAAGTCAGTACATCTTAATTATAACCATCAATGTAAATGGGATCAATTCACCAATTAAGAGAAATAGACTGGCACAGTAGATTAGGAAATCAATATGCTGTATACAACAAACACATTTGACTCATAAAGAAAGTCATAGGCTGAAAGTCAAAGGATGGAACACAATAATACATGCCCCGGCACTTCAGAAAAAAGGAGGGGTATCAATCCTATTTTCAGACAGTCTCAACTTCAAATTAAGAATGAACAAGCGAAATAAAGAAGGCCACTATATACTGGTTAGGAGAAAAATTCAAGAGGAAGAGGTAACATTCATGAACATGTATGCACCAAACACAAGAGCACTCAACTATATACAGCAAATCTTAGTGGACATGAAAAATCTAATATCCAATACCACAATCTTAACAGGAGACCTTAATACCCCCTTATCCCCAAAAGATAGGTCAACCAGACAAAAACTTAGAAAAGAAATAACAGAAGTGAACCAGAGCTTGAAACAAATAGACTTGTGGACATATACAGAGTGTTCCACCCAAACACAGCTGAATACACATTTTTCTCAGCTGCACATGGCTCATTTTCTAAAGTAGACCACACACTCGTCCATAGGTCATGCTTAAGTATATGTAAGAAAACAGAAATTGTCCCATGCACATTATCTGACCACAATGCAATGAAACTGGAAATAAATGACAAAAGAAACCAGAAAAAAACCCTAAATGCATGGAAATTAAATGACGCTCTACTCAGCAACCAATAGGTCAGAGATGAAATTAAACAAGAAATTCAACAATATCTACAATTCAATGAAAATTCAAGCACAACTTATCGTAATTGATGGGATACAATGAAAGCAGTTCTCAGAGGGAAATTCATAGTTGTGAACTCACACATTAGGAAAACAGAACGGGAAAAAATAAATACTCTAATGCTGCACCTTCAACAACTAGAAAAGGAAGAGCACACCAAACACAGAGCCCAAAGATGAGAAGAAATCATAAAGATTAGAGCAGAAATTAATTCAATTGAGATGAAGAAAACAACTCAAAGAATTCAAAAAGCAAAAAGCAAAAAGCTGGTTCTTTGAGAGATTAAATAAAATCGATAAGCCTCTAGCCAACTTCATCAAAAAGAGGAAAGAAAAATTCAAATACAAGCAATAAGGAATGATAAGTTTGCAATTACCACAGACCCAGTGGAAATTCAGAAGATTATCAATAGCTACTTTGAGAATCTTTACTCTCACAGAAGACACAGAAGGAATGGACAGATTTCTAGAAAGGTATAAATTACCACAACTGAATCGACAAGATATAACCACTCTCAAGAGCCCAAAAACAGCCAATGAAATACAAGATGTAATTAAAAACCTACTGACAAAGAAAAGCCCAGGTCTGGATGGATTCACAGCTGGATTCTACAAGAAATTTACAGAAAATATAGTCCCTATACTCCTCAAACTCTTCCATGAAATTGAAAAGGAAGCAATCCTCCCAAAATCATTCCTGGAGGCAAGTGTTACACTGATACCAAAACCAGGGAAAGACATAACTAAGAAAGAGAACTACAGGCCGATCTCCCTCATGAACATAGATGCCAAAATCCTCAATAAAATACTAGCAAATAGAATACAGCAAATCATCAAGAAGATCATACACCATGGCCAGGTAGGATTCATCCCAGGGATGCAAGGATGGTTCAATATTCGAAAATCTAGAAATGTAATACACTATAT